TTGCTGTCCAGAAAAGTTGTAAATTGGTCTATTGAAAACTGTTGGTCGTGTTTAGCATGAGCTTAGAGTTGTTTCTCACCAGATGTGATCAGCAGAATATAGGGCTATCCACTCTCATTATTTTTTTTTAAAGCACTTATATGCAGAATTGCTTATGCTTACTTTTGGAGTGTTGTTTTCTCTCTTTTGGGAGAGGCTGTTTCACAATTGTTTTATGGAAAAAAGTTCTTGCATCTTCCTTTGTTGCTCCCAGTCTTGATGCCTCCATTTGACCTGATAGCAAACTATGTGGCTCCTTTGGTCTGTGGTGGTATTTCTGGTGAAGGCCCCAAAGCACAAACCTATTGGTCTATAAATTAACCTTTGCTGAATTAGGGTGAGGGTGTTTTAAGGATACTCTTGGTTCAAACAATCCTCATACATTTATGTTCATAAGTATGATAGATGTAGACTGCTTCACACTTGTGAATTTTCTTTACTGGATATGGCATGAAAATTTCCCTGTGTTTTACTTCTTGTGCAGGAAGAATGAATTACAGCCCTGAGAAAAAGTACTTTCAGAGGAAAATAGCAACAGCTCAATACATTTGTTGACAATTTCACTGTTTTGTTTTAAAAATTGTCCGGATTTGTTCCTAGAACAGATCATTATTTTTTACAGGCACATTACCTCATGAGAAGAATAGTGCTTTTGTTCCTCTAAACTGGTATTTTTTAATTGTCAGCGTAAATGAAAGCAAGATGGTAACAGACTTTTCCCAGGCACAGGCAAGAACAAGTACAAAGTACGCCTGTATGCAGATAAAGTCTTTACATAGGACTGATATGGAGAAAATAGGGGAACTTTTTTTGCAGTGATGCACTTGCGTTCTTCCAAAAAATATTTATAATGAATTGTTTTAACATATGTTGAAAGGATAGAAGGTCCTTTGCATTTTGAGTGTTTAATTCCAAACCACTGAAGAGGGAAGTAATTAAAGTAATGTGCGTCTCCAAAGAAATGTGGAATTGACAGTTTATTCCTAACTGGATTTCTCTTATGACTGACTGTTACTAGCAGAAGGGCACTAGCTGTTATTAGATTTTGGAGTGCTTGCTTTGTTAAGTTTGCAGTGTACAATTACTTTATAATTGATTTTAACCATCTCTAATGAAGTAGATGTCCCATTCCTTCCTGTTGTAAGCAACTGTCCCGTTGATGTCAGTGGTACCTTGGCCTGAATTAAGCCTGAACAACTGAATCCAGACTTTGTAAAATGAAAACACTCTAGGAAGGCTAAGGGTAGAACCACCTCAACCCGAACTATTTGCCTAACTCTTAAGGCTTTAAAACAAAAGGCAAATATGCTTGTCAAAGTCCACCTGTCACTGTCTTGGCATGGAAAGTGCAATCTGAAGTGACTTCTTCCAAGTCTGAGGCTTAAAGGTTTCTCTCTGCTTTCCCTCCCCTTTTCTAGACAGTGAAAAGACTTCACCTAGATTCTCAGCAAGTGTTGCCTTCTCTCACTCAATGTAAGTGGTGAGAAGCAGGATGTATCTGTTGAACTGCGAGGTGCCTTTCTTGAAGCATTAGATGAACTATCACAGAACTCCCACCTCTTCTTACAGTTTATTCCTGTGCTGGTGGAGATAGAGACAGTCAGCTCTGGCAACTGCATGGTTTTAGGAAATAATCTACACTAAATTCATGGTCAGGCCAGCTTTCTGTGAAGGAATGATGTCCCAAAGAGCAGAAGTGTCTGTTTCTCTTAAGGGTAACCACACCAGCTTTCTGCCTGTGGCCTGTTTTGGAAGTACCTCTCTTCAGCTATTCTCCAACTGCAAAATAGATGTTTAGTGTTTCTGGTCTCCCTGCTTCCAGTTCAGCCTGCCCACCATAAGGCAAAAATGTACCTATGTTCTTCATGAAAATACACAACCTAGAGAATCCAGTTCAAGCTGTGCCACTTCCCATGCAGCCTTGACACTGAAGACTGACGTGCTTGCGCGTGTTTAGCATCCTGAACAAGTTCTCCATGAGCAGTGCATCCCAGTAACACAGAGCAGCAAGTTCTTGCTACGCCAGTTACTGTCGCTGGAAACATGGCCCCAGATACTCCAAACTGGAAACATGGCCCCAAATACTCCAAATTAGATAGTCTCCCACAAGCCTTGGTAGTACTGAGGAGAACAGTGAAAATATTTTAACCTCCACTGACAAAATCGCTCCCTTTCTTTGATACTTTTCCAGTGGGCACCAGTGCTATTGCTGTTTTCAAATCCCTGTTTTAAAAATGTTAATTTTCATACCTTGCTGTGTTAGTGCAAAGGCTGGGCTTCCATAGGTATCCCACTGAAGTTTGAGTGGCATAGTTTGATTTCCCTCTGGTATAAAAGTAGCTGCTTTATTTCCTTGTTTCTCTATTTAACTTATCAAAACTCAAAATCTGAAATCTGTCATATTAAATCTATTGTTAAAAAAGTAATTGGTTTTGTTATTGCTAATAACAGCTTATATCGCTAATATCTCACAAACCTTAAGGAAGTAAACATGATCACAGAATTTGGAAAGCAGCGTCTTTGTGACACTGATACTTAAAAATTCTTATTCATCTGCAGTGTTACTGAAGATGGATAAATTAGCTACTCAGTTGATAATTTAGGATTTCTGGCTGTAAGGAATAGACTGACCTGACACAAGCTATTCTGTCAGGAACTGTAGTTCTACTCTGGCAAAGATTTGTTTATTACGAAGAGACTAGTGGACTGGTGGACTATCAGGAAGAATCAGGTGTGATTCCTATACAAACACCTGGGTCAAGGTCAGCAATCCTTCAAGCAGTAGTGCCATATGGTATAAGCACACATGCTATGAAAGGAATATTCAGCCTTTCCTTGAAGGGGTTTTCAGAGGGTGTGTAGCCAGTCAAGATCCGTACTTGAACTATTACTTAACATACTGCATCCAAAAATGGTGCCTAATTTTGTAAACCCACCATACTGATGCAAACAAATTTAATGTTACATTATCACATCCATCTCCTGACCCTGTTGCACATAACGTGAAACTTTGTAATCAGGAGATTCAGCTCTCCCTGTTGTAAATAGACCGTGGGAATGAATTGGTCTGTCTTCTTTAGATTGGACCTGAATACACTAAAACTTTGCACAGTTTGGGTCCACACCTGAGCTGTACAGCTGGGCTTGATGAGCTAATCCAAATACTGGGTAAGTGAACATAATGCCCCTTGTGATTCCCTGTTTTTACATCTGGGGAAGCAGATGTTACAGATTGTGTTACTTGAGGGGTTATTCTCAGTTTTGTAATATAATCTAGTTGCTAATAAGTACAGAGCCTAGGGACTTAATTATAGCCCCAAAATTGAGGGATCAAAGCATAACGAAATGTCAAATTCCCTTTTTATTCTTACCTTCTCAACACTGCACTTTGAATCTATTTCATGGTGAGGAAAGAATCCTAATATTTCAAATTTCAATGTACAGACAGAATCACAAATTGAGCTGTTCCCCAGATTAGTGGAACTAAATCAAAACATTGTGAATAGATTCTACCACAACCTCACCCACTACAAGGTCAAAATCATACCCCAAGCATGATGTGAAAACAGAAAATGCATAGAACCACTTTAAAGGAGAAATGCAAGAACATAGAGATTGCATTTTGCTTTACAAAGGCTTAAGCACAGGAAATTTATTGTAAGGAAAACTTTTTTTAAAATGCTGTTCAAATGAAAATTCTGTAATAATGCAGTTCTTTGTTTGAAGATGCTGAATAAATTACTTACAGTTAACTTCAAAGTCAAGTTCTTCGATGGCAGGCATATATAGCTTTTTGCTATAAGGGATCTATCTTTACATTTGAGTTATGAACACGTCACATATTGTCTTTGTAGGGGCAGTAGATTTCCTAGCTGTCATTACTTGCCATTGTAGTGAGTTCCTTTGAACTCAAGCCCCCTTATTGTTTTCAAAGCACCGAGTTTAGTTTACCCAAACCCCTGCCAATGGTTTGTGTATCACTACTGATCTTTCCCTGGGCTGCCTTCAGAGCAGAAATAGCAGCCACAAATGTTCCAGAGCTATAAACACAGAACCCAGGATCCCTACTGCAGCCAGGCATGCTGTAACACACACTAGGTTATTTGTGCTAGGAGTCGTGTCCCTTTGTTTCTATAGGGTTGGACTCGCTGCTCAGCAGGTGTGTGCCCTGATAGCCTTCTATTCCCAGCACAGAAATATTAATTGAGTATTCAGATTAATGCAACAGCTGATTTAATTAGCCCGATGCCCATCCTCCTCTCTTTATCCTAATCAAATTCCATTTTCCCCTGGAGGTCCATAATGTAATTATTTATACACAGATTGGTATCTTTGTTTTATATTTCAGTTGTTAATTTATGGACCTTTTTGGTTGTGATTCCAAGTGTTTGATTTGAGGGTGCCTTTGTCTGTCTTGGCCCGCATTGCAGAATGCCCTTTTGCTTAGGAATTGGAAAAAGCCCATCTTTCTACAACTGTGGTGCTCTCCTCCTGCTTCCTCTCACTCCATTGACCTACTGAAGCAGCTGAGCAAACAGAGGTCTGCTCTGAGATATTTTGCAAGTCGAGAAACGGGCCAAGTCTGTTGAACGAATGATTGTTTTAAAGCCTTAAGAGTCAGCTCAGTTTGGCACGCAGTCGCCTTTGTCAGAACGTTGCTGCGTTTCCTTGCCCTGTCAAAGCTGGTGCAAGGAAAAGGGGTGCACTGGGGACCATCTGTGTCTTTTGTCCAATTCCATTTTGCTCAGTGGCAAGTATCGCGTTCGTACAAGAGAAACAAAAGCTCACAGAGGGAAGAGCCTCAATCACCCAGGAATACAGATCAACACTACAACTGCACTTTAAACTTAGCCTTCTGATGCTTATTCTGGAGGCCGGATGGTGAGCTCTTTTGCCTTCCAGAGGAAACACTCTTAAGACATACAATTTTAAATAAATAGCAAAGTCAAGTCAACACTTACTCATAAAATTCAGCTGCAGGAGTGAGCTTGTACTTTGAGTATTTGGTACCGTTGCCAAGCACTGATGCGTTGAAGAGTTTGGGATCTGTACAGTTTGGGCTGTTCCAACTGTTGTCGCAGTTTGTCCAGGGGAGCTCAAATGTGAATGACGAAAATAGATAATACAGAGACCAAGCTATGATAACGTTGTAGTAGAAACCCACGTAAAGAGCTATGAGTATCACTGCATAGCCTACACCTAAAGACAAAGGAAAACTAGATTATACATTGCATTTTACATGCAGCAGTACATGCAAACACTGTAGTTAAACCGAGACATGTGCTTGCAAATTCATTTCAGATCTTCACACCAATAAAAGGAATTTTGACATTTACATATGCGCATGTGGACACGGTGTCACTGACCTTAAAATAAACAATTACAGTAATGATTTTGGAAAATGTCTGGCTTTTAGGAAATCCAGTTGTTTGCCAGAAAAAGAAATTAAGCAGTGCAATGTCGAAATTTGCTCTTGTACAACTCTGTTGCTGATTTGCTTCCAATGCAGAGGATTGCAAGCCCATGTTAGGAGTGAAACTCACTTCATCTTTATAATGTCAGAGTCCTTGGCAACTTTTCTTGGAAAAGTAAAGCTTGAGACTTAAGTGAAGTTTCCCTCTGCCTCACGTTCCCACCCTCAGCCAGTCTGGAACAGACACCGCTCCCTCTCCCGTTTCTTTCCCATTGTTACTCTACAGATTGGCTTCCACCAGTGTCCAACACACACATGAAACAGTCTGTGCTGTTCCACAGAGGGGGTCCAAGTGGTTCTTGGGCATGCCAGTAAATCTTGGTGAATATCAAGGTTGGGGCTAAACTATGTGTGGACCTTAAAGCTTTTTTATTATGTGCCCAGGATTACAGAATCCCCACTGTAAGCATTCTCTTTTGACTTTGAACATTTCTTTGTATTTTTGCACACTGTGGTGTGCTTGGAGGGTCCCTTTAGTGAGAGAGCCCCAGAGAGCACATGTTCTCCTCATGAAAATGGACATTTTGCAATGATTTGGGAGGAAGCTTTGACACTAATTGCAGAGCAGAATGAGAGTTTGTTGCCAGAATTGTTGCTTTACTTTGGCCTATATCCTTCCTTCTTTGTGAGCAGCTTTGTTCTCTGAATCCTACCCCAAAGCTGCATGTATGACATAGCACAGGTAGAGACTAAGCTGTTTTATGACTATCATCACTGTACTGTCCAAGCACCTAAGTGTAAACCTTTATTTCTCATTTTCTTCAGTTTAGTTTTTTGGAGATACTGTGTGGGAGGCCTAGCAGTTGGAGATTATTGGGCTTTCATATTTCTTGCTAAAGTAAGGAAGTAGCACACACTTTGAGTACTAATCCTTGGTTTAAAATTTGCATAAGGAACAGATGCTGACCCTGAAGGAGTTGGCAGTTCAAAGACTACTGTTTATACCAAAGTTACTCTTTGCTCTTCAGGAGGCTCTCAATACATAGACCAGTTTGCTCATTCCTGACACTGGGGAAAAGATTGTGAAAGTAAAGATGAAACTGTCTATTCAAATCCTTGGTGCTTAAATTAATCCAGTACATTAACCCTCTAGTGACACATTATGATCGCTAGAATGGAGTGGAGGGGGGAATGACCCAAAGGGACAACTCTTACTGTGAATGTTCACATATAAAGTACAAATAATGTACGTTGGCCTGTAATTGCATAATTTCCAGAAATTCCTCCAATTCAGGAAGACATTTAAATCTTAATATTTAATATTAAGATTTAAAAATGCTGGATCAAATGTATCTTAAATGTCACTCCTCTGAAATCATAAGAATGCTCAGGAATTAATTTGCTCTCCTCTTTCTAGGTCTAGCTTTTCTTGAAAGTAGCGCTGCACCACCCACACCCTAAAATAGACCCTGAAAAATGCAGAGATGGAAACAGACTGTTTCAAAGGTTACAGGGTGTATTTTTAATTGCATGCATTATGAGAGCATCTCATTAGAAGCAGAGTCCTTAGAGTTCATAGCAATAATATTCATAGCTAAAATTAGTACTATAGTGCTGTTCATTTAGAGCAGCTGTTATAAATTGGTGTAGACTGTGTGCTTTTCATTTAAGTGAGAGATTTGCGTTATCCCAGAAACCACTTAAATGCATTAGCAGTAAAATGTGTTTGCATGTAATCAGAAGATTTGGTCAAATCTTTAACAGTACTGAGTTTATACTAGTGCTGAGGTGCAAATGCAACACAATGATTATTACTTTTTGAGAATCAAATAACTTATGCTATTCTATATCCTAGTAATAAGAACACTTAAAAATCAACAGTGATGTATGTTTAGTCCACCTTGAAAATGTCAGCTTAAAAACACAGCTGGAATGTCAACAAGACTATACATGAAATAAGTTCTATTTTCCTTTCTCATCATCTTTTCAATCCTGAAGTCAACAGATAGAGTACCTCTGAGCACAGTGGTATTTGGCTCAAATACTTTGAGATCCTTAAGGTCTAATTTTTGCAGTTAGGTTTTCAAAATCCTTATTGCCATTCAAAGGTATTAACTGATACCGGCAGGAATTTTGATTGAGCCAAGGGTCTTCAGGTTCCACGGTGCTGGGATGAATTTTGTCTCCCGTGAAGGGATTATAGAAGGGCTAGGTAAATCTATACAAATTCATTTTAAAATTTTGGGGCACATATTACCTCACTTATTTAATTTGTTTTTTATCTCTAATTTTGCTGTGACTTTTAGGTTTGGCTAATAAAAAAAACCCACAACAAAATCCTACAGTTTTCCTATTCTGCAGTTCTAGACTCCTTGAAGAGGAAAGCTGTATTTTGAGAGAGGCAACTAACATTTACTCAGTGTAACCTATATCCAAGCACCGGATCCGCCAAGTTTGGATTCTATTGTTAAGCTCCTCAGCTTTTGTCAGTGACAGGATGAACATGATCTGAATTTTAAGCTTCTAAGATCAGATGAGTTTGACCAGTTTCATTTCAAGTAGCTTTGTGTTCAAAAGGCTTTTACATAAAATTTTAGATACAAGCTGGTATAGATACATGGGAACTTACCATTTTTGCTGGCAAGCAATGCTCAAGAAAATTCTTGAGGCTCCTTAAATATTTGTTTCATGTACATGGTTTCTTTCACCCAGGGAGATCCCTTTATCCCTGATTAATGCCAAACACCCCGATCAGTATCTAGACACCTTAACCTCAGCTATTTCTCCCTTGCAGAATGATTGCAACTCCGTGCACAAGACAACACTCCACAGCCTTTTATTCAGTGTCGCTGGAGAGTTAACCCTGGTGGAAAACACTCAACAAGGTTCTAGTAAGCGCTTTTCATTGCTAGATCTGAAAAGCATTTTGCAAAGTCTACCCGAGTCATTGTTCCCATTTCATAGGCAGGAAGACTGAGGCACAGAGCGGGGATGTTACAAGTCTAGTGGCTGAACTACAGTCTCCATAACTCCACATTAGTGCTCCAGCCCCCAAGGCACCCTGATGCTGCAGAGAAAGCTCCACACAATGAATAGAGTTGGAGTCGGTGGTTATTTTGGTCGCTGGGGGAGACAGGGCTGACCTGACTTGGATGGGATTTGGAATTTCCAAATGTTTGCATTTCCAGCCCCTCCTTCCACCTGGAGATACCCAGTTCCTCCCACTCCCCAAAACGCAGGGGAAAGGGAGGATGGGGCTGAACCCCTCCTGCTCATTGCTCTCTGTTGCTCAGCCGTTACCCCCAAGATGATTCCTGTGACTTTTCCCATTTTGTGCTCCACCTGTGATAACAAAAAGACTCCTGACTACAAGGGTTGGGGAAAGGTCAGCAAATATCACGCTGTCTGTGGGAAGATGAGAGACCTTTACTTTGTTTGTGATCACGAGTGTGTAGCACCCTCACGGGAGCAGAGGGACACTTACCTTTGAAAACTGGGCAGATCTTCCACACAGTGGCAGCCCCTTCTCGGTTATACTGTCCCAGTGCTAATTCCATATAGAACAGGGGCATTCCAGCAATGATTAAGAAGAGGATATAGGGAATAAGAAAAGCACCTGGAATGAGAATAAAGTGATATTATAGTCTTGTTACGTTTTGCTTTTTCCATTGCTTACTTTTACAGGCTAAAGACAAAGCAACTGCCTTTGGGAAGCAGAAAGGAAACATCAAGAAGGACAATCCCATGTTCTCTTGTCCCTTTCCTGTCATTTTTTTTTAAGGTCTCAGAGACAAAACCCCTGAAAAAAGCTGTAGACCATGGCTTCTGTTTCCCTTCTGCTTTTGAGTTCAAAGGGAAAAAATGTGTCCCTGAAAACTGATCCCCAACTGAAGAAGAAATCATGCCAAATATACTTGCAGAGCAAGTAGTGAAAGGGACTCTGAAAAATTTTAAGGGTTTTTTTTTTTAATGTAATATGTTCAAAAGGGAACGTGGAGGCCAGTGATGGGAAAAAAATGTCGTGCACGTTCTTGCAAAGGTGGTTTAAATCGTACTGTGTGAAGTGTCTGCAGGAACCTCTGGCTTGAAAATGTGTTACTACTGGTCAATCATATGGAATTTGGGGTTTTGTGGCATATTTTGCTTTGTGCTGTAATAAATTCCCTTACTCTTATGAAATGTATTAGATATAACCCCCCTGTCCAGCCTAGCGATCCTATGTGATGTGAATCCCATAGGAATCCTGATGTGTCAGTGACACTATCATAAAAAGTATTGCCAGCTGAAATACAAAAGGATCATCGAATGTTAGAAACTATCTGAAAATTTCTTAGCAATTTTATACGATCCAGGTCACAGAAGGAAGAGTCCCCCAGTGCATGGTTATATACAATACCATTAAACAATTATAGAATCACAGAATGGTTAGAGTTGGAAGGGACTTAAAGATCATCCACTCCCACCCCCCTGCCCTGGGCAGGGACACCTCCCACCAGACCAGGTTGCTCCAAGCCACATCCAGCCTGGCCTTGAACCCCTCCAGGGATGGGGCAGCCACAGCTTCTCTGGGAAACCTGTTCCAGTGCCTCACCACCCTCACAGCAAAGAATGTCTTCCTAATATCTAATCTAAATCTCCCCTCTTTCAGTTTAAAAGCATTACTCCTTGTCCTGTCACAACAGTTTCTGACAAAGAGTCCCTCCCCATCTCTCCTGTAGCCCCTTCAGGTACTGGAAGGGGCTCTAAGGTCTTCCTGAAGCCTTCTCCTCTCCAGGCTGAACAACCCCAGCTCTCTCAGCCTATCTCCATAGGAGAAGGGCTCCAGCCCTCTGATCATTTTCGTGGCCCTCTGCTGGCCCCATTCCAACAGGTCCATGTCCTTCCTGTGCACTTGGCCTGGTTGAACTTCATAGTTGGTGTCATTAATAACTGGATGGTCTATCTGTCCTCTGCTTTGTGGTCCCTGTGAAGTGTAGCTTTTATTTTATTGCAGAGGTTACTTAGTCCAGAACAGTTCAATTCACGTAAAATTTGTCTGTATAAAAAAAAAATATGATTAGACTTTTTGATAAATAAGGTCCTGACAGAGTAACTACATATCCTGAATAACTGACTGCTGTCTTTAGGAATTACATGTATGAAAAAGAAATTAGATTGTGAAAATCTTGGTTAAATTGTTCAGGAAAAGTAAAAAGGAAAACCAGCAGCAGCTATTTCTCCCAACAGCAAGTAGTAGGAACTATTGCAAACCTTTAAACTCTGCTGTACTGGTTTAGTACTTTGAAAACTTCCCTTGCAAAAGGAAGCAAGTTTGCATTGCTTCTAAATATATAAACTTGCAGAAGGTTTGTGTAGTCTATAAAAGTATAAAAGCTAAAAGCATGACTGCAGCTATCTAAAACATGCCAGTAAGCAGAATTAATTGCATATTTAAAAAGTACTTCTGAAACTACTGTCGTGCTTTTAAGAGTCTAAATTGTTGTTGCTCTTTTACCTTTCGTGTTTGCTTTTCACAGATATTACTAGTGTGAGCTGCCTGGCGTGACTGTTCAGAGAAGGAATTTTGAGTGTATACTGGAGAAAAAGAAACTCTGTTCTCTTAGTCACACCACAAATCTATTTCTAAAAGTAACATGCTGTAACATAATGGTAAGGACAATGTATTCAGCATTCAGTTGTAAGTTTAGGCATTTGAAAGTTGAAATTTTGCAATGAACCAGAGACAAGGTATATCAACAGAAATAAAGAATAGCTTGAAGCTTTGAGAATGTATCCTAAAAGTTGAAGTATATTGGTTTTATCACTTTGGGGCAAGAATCTTCTTATTCATGATGTTTATATGGAGTGTAGTGTGAATGCAACCCGCATTCACATAAGCTACTACAGTACCAGTGATACATGTTCTAATAATATTTCAGCGTCGTTCATAAACTGCTTTCTATGGTTGTCATGTTGAACTGTCATATGTTCGAATATTGTAGAGAAAAAAATATTTATATTCAACAAATACTTGATACCTTGTGGTTCTGAGCTCTGCTCAATGTTGAAACATACTCAGCTAAATCAGCCTGGGATACTACATATTGCTCTCACTATATGTAGAAAAATTATTTTAGGTGATATTACTGTCAGATTTCTTGCAAGTGACAGCCTTTGAAGCTCCATCCCTGTCTCACCTCAATAGTATTACAGCGTGTGGCACTGACTCACAAACCTCGCTCGCGCTCGGGAGGTACGGGGTTTGCACAGAGAGCTGCCTGATTAACGTCAGTGTCAAGAGACTTGTGGAAAACACGGTGCCACAAATTGAACAGGGAAATTTGCATTTGAGAAAATTAATCCTGGAGATGTGTAGTGGACATACGTATTAAGTGCTAGTTTAAAATACGTGGCTTTTAAGTATGACTAATATCATGATGAACTGTGAAGTGTACTGTACTTAGCCATACTTGCTTAAGCGTCATCCATTTGGCTGCGAGTCATTCCAGGCATTAGTTAAAGGAGTTTTCTTTCTTTTTTTTCTTCCCCCGCCCTACCCCCGCAAGGGATTAATAAGGTGTGGTGTAATTTTCAGCAAAGAGCAGTATGGCAGGGTTTCATAGCTGGGTAACTTTTCAGGTAACTAAATGATTGAAGTATTTTGAAATTGAGATAAATACCAAAGTAAGGGTGCTGCTTAGTCACATTAAGTTGACTTAATGTTTTGCAGACTTCTGGAAAATTCTTGTTTAGCAGCTTCTGATTAGGTAAAAAATGCCCCAAAGTCAGGGATTTTGTAAATATCTTGATATTTGCTCTTCTCTTCCTAGCTAATACCCGGGATCAAACTTTGTGGTGTTCACTGAACCCTTTCTGATATCATGGGTACTTCAAAGAAAAATAAATGATGGTCAACGTACCATGCAAATTGCTGCAAACTAGACTGGTATGCAAACGGCTCATAAACAGCATATGTGTGGTATACGATCACCCTCCCTCTGTGATTGCATAGGGGCTTCATCACAGGACTGGATTGTCTACAGTGTCTTATGAACAAGAGGTGGTGTTTGGAAGGAGCCTTCATACCGTCCTGCCTGTGTGACCATCCTGTAGGCCAGGGAGGAGGCAAACCAGCATCACGGTGAGCCTCTTGCTTTAGGTCCACTGGGGTGAACTGGAGCATCATACCAGACTTCTCTGAAGGAGCAGCTTCGCTGTTAATGCCTACCTGGTCTATGGAGTCAAAACGTGATGACACGATGCCAGCTGTGTCACCCCGGCCCAGTGCCACTGGCCACAGAAACTGCTGGGCTTTAATTGCCTGGATCCAAGGGGTCAGTCAGCTTTGTCTCGCCCGGGTGGCTGAACTTGGAGGGAGCACACAGTTTGGCCAAGGCTTCAGGCTGGCTTGCCAAGACCTACCTACCTCAGAGAGCTGATGGAACACAGTCTGTGGGATTGCTGCCTTGGCAGTAACACGCTGATGGCACTCAAGGGGATTCCACTCCCCCACGGTGTGACGGGATGGGGCTGAGCACACAGCTGCAGCCCACGAGGCAACACCGGTCTCAGCAATCCCTAATGGTTCCTCATTTCCCTTAAGAGCTAAAAATCTGAAGTAATTAACATCTGTAATGCAGCCCTGGCATAAGAGCCGTACTTGACTTGCTACTGAGTCACGTGCAGCAGAACGGCCACAGGTTGGCCTTGGACTGTTGTGCATTGCTACATCTCTCTCTGAACACATTTCATCAGATCCACGTCCATCCCTGAAGGCATCAGTGTATACATGGAGTTAAGACAGCCTTGCGTGTTATGCAAAACTGGATTAGGTCAAACCCTCAGCTTCTACAAGAACCATCTGTGTGAAACTTCAAGTGGAAACTTTCACAGAAGATTTTTTTGTTTTGTTTTTTTTTTTTTAAAACCCACCCTATGACATTTAATTAATGAAGGACAAAATACACGGCAGGCTTTGCTTTCCTGTGTTCAATGCCAAAACAACTTCTTAATTTTGGTCTAACAGAATCCTTGCACAGAGTGTCTCCTCCCTCTGCTCGTCAGCATTCACAGCATCTTCTAAGGGGTGGGAAGCACAGAGGAATACAGCTCTAAATACTCCTCTCAGTCCTACAAGGAGGTCGCATCTTGCTTTTAAATACCAGAAAGAAAGAAGCATTAATTTACTAATGACAGAAAGAAGATAATTTAAACAGCTGCTGTTATCCTAAAAGGATTTGTTGATGCACATACAAGGAGCAGGCCAGGATAGGGGTAGTTGAAACAAGCTTGAACTATTTGTGCTCATTAGCCTTCTGCGTTCGTTACCATGGTTATTCTAGTCAAAATGTTAACTGGCGGGGATCTCTGCTAAAACAACAAACTTTGAGCAAATATGACAGTATATATTTTCAGATAGGAGTGTTTCCAGTGCAGGAAAACAGTTTGAAAGCAAAGATCTCCCAATTAGTGAATTGAAATACAACGTAACTGTGTCCAGTTCTGGGCTCCCCAGTTCCAGAAGGACAGGGAACTGCTGGAGAGGGGACAGCAGAGGCTACAGAGATGATGAGGGGCCTGGAGCATCTCCCTTATGAGGAAAGGCTGAGGGACTTGGGGCTTTTTAGTCTGGAGAAGAGAAGGCTGAGGGGGGATCTGATCAACACCTATAAATACTTAAAGGGTGGGTGTCAAGAGGACGGGGTCAGTCTTTTTTCAGTGATGCCCAGGGACAGGACAAGAGGAAATAGGCACAAACTTGAACATAAGAAGTTCCACCTAAACATGAGGAGGAACTTCTTTGCTGTGAGGGTGGCAGAGCCCTGGAAGAGGCTGCCCAGGGAGGTGGTGGAGTCTCCTTCTCTGGAGACATTCAAAACCCACCTGGACACGTTCCTGTGCAACCTGCTCTGGGTGGACCTGCTCTGGCAGGGGGTTGGACTAGATGATCTCCAGAGGGCCCTTCCAACCCTGTGTGATTCTGTGATTCTAATCTCTATATCTCAACAACACTGCTTGTTTCTTTCATACAGAACAGTACTTCAAACAGTATCAGCAAACAGCTGATAGAAAGTAGTACGTTTGCTTGGACAACGAGGAAAATGGGTGGAACTTCTAATCTGTGCAGACTCCTGTGAATGGAAAAGGAAGTCCCCCACGCAGAGCTCTTGAAATCTAGATTGTACAAGATCACCACAAGTAGAAAAATGAGGTGGTGGAAAGGCAGGGGTTTCTTAGTGCATGAACATTAGTTCTGGCTCTTCAGCAGGCTGGCCACCAGCTGGCATGCACAGCCAGTGGAGGCCTCTCTGGAGGAGGCAAGCTTGAGCCTGCTGCTGGCTTCTGGGAAGAAGGGGTGGGAGGGTAGACCTTTTACTGACCTGAGATTAAAAGCAATAAGGGTTTGTGTGGCCCAGCAAAGAGAAGTCAGAGACACAAAGGAGCATGATGTAACCTCAGTGTCCAAGCCAAGCTGATGATTTTAACAGCAGCTCTATGATGATGTTGAGCCCAGCCAGCAATAGATTATAGTAGTCAAAAATAACATTTTTTCTGCAAAACAGATTGCATGACATACTATAAAAACTTCAGTAGCACTTTGCACATATAAAATCTTCCAAGTATGCAGTAAAATCTTCCAAGCATGCAACCTTTTTCATGGAAAGTATTTCTGTACCATAAAAGCAGTGGAGCTATACCACGGTGAGTGACATGTTTCTTTTGAAGCCCTTATATTTAGCTACTCCCTCTAACAAACTGTTGCAAGATTTGAACCTATTTATATTTCTACTCTCAATTTGGGCCCGGACCCTTCAGTTTTTCCAGAATTCCAATTTTAATAGTGTTCCTTTCACTCAAAAGAAAGTGAAAACAAATAGTTTCTAGAAATGTTTCAGTGTTGTTCATGGGCTGAAGCCAACTGAAGCCTGCATTTTTGCTGTGAGCTGTTAACCTGCTGCTGCCTTGAAATCACTTGAAGTGGCTTGAAGTGCAGTGTATTTATAAGCTGGTCACCGGGTTGTAACAGAAAGGGTTACCCAAGCCCTTCCATGCAAACCCAGTCATCTCGTTGGCTTTTTGTTACAAGAGTAATGAGCTAAAGAAACCCATTAGTAGCTATTTTGAAGAAATTAATGAGAGTTAAATATACCCAGCTACTCAGAGCAGCATGATTCATTCATAAATAACACCCAAGTCATTGGCCAAGGTCCTATTTACATAAATTAATGAAATGATCACATTTACAACAGTGTGTAGTTTAAAGATAATCACAGGAACATACAAGAACAGAACCCTGGCCTATGTTGTCTGATAGGAAATTAAAGAATAAATAAAGAGACCTGGTGAGTTTGCGAGAATATAAGTCAGGTTGGTCCAAGGTGGCCAGTGTGGCCATGGGAGCTCTGGAGGTTTGTGGGAGGGTTTCTGCTGCTGACCTTCATGAGACTCTCACTGCTGCTTAGGGAAGTAGGCCATTCCTGTCTTCTGCTGCGAGTGTGACCACAGAAAGTCCAAAAATCTGCTTTACAAGGTTCAGTGATAGCTTTTGTTTTTACACTGTGCCTCCTTATAGCAGAGCTACTATTGGAGCTGGCCCCTTTGTTCCTAAATAAATGAATTACCGTCAAAGTGAGTTTTGACAGTATTTTGGTGAGTAAATAACCTGAAGTTTGTAACAATGTGAAGGTCTAGCTACTAATTTTCCTGCCGCAATCCATCTTGTTGATTTTGTGCCTTTTTCTTTTTTAACTACCTGTCTGGTTTAAGCAAGAAATGAGAGAATAAGTGAGCTGGAATGAGGAGCCAGCTTGTAGACTGTTTTGTTATGTGATTTATGAAATCTCTATTATTAATGTTCAACAGGACAGGGTTTGTAGGAGTGGTAGTACCCTTTACTGGAACAGATAATGCTGTTGGGAACAAACTGGCAAACTTTCTAGTTCACAAAGTCTTCAGAAGGTGCTGGTAAAAGGAAGTGCATGACAGTGGAATGCAGGGTCGGCGTGCAGATGCCTAGCTGGAGAATGCTGCTGCTTCACAACAGACATGACTGGAAGCTTAAGAGATGCTAAACTGAGAAGAAAAAATACTACTGTATCATTTTATTAATAGGAGTGTTCTATTCATGTTTTTCCCCAACCTCGCAATTATTAGGGGTGACACAAGGATATATCCACCTGCAATTGCATATCAACAAAACCACCCACATAAGGTGTAGGCTGTTCTTGAGATGTACAAAATCAAGTGTCTGTCAAAATGTACCCTGATCTATTGGTGGCAGAACATCTATGGCTAAAAATATTTTCCAGTGAAGACCACAGAAGTTATTTCCTGTGAGCTCATGGGTCAGGATAAGCAGGATTCCAGCACTAGAAAATCCATAATAACATCACCTCATTTGAGAATTTTTCCTTGAAATGCATGCACTGAAAAGCTGTTTTCTGTGATGTACAGAACATTGTCATGTATGTGAAAGGAAATACTGCTTCCTCAGCTTTAGCTGTCTCTGAAGCATAGACAAGTCCTTGCTTGATGCCAGGGAGACTTTGGCAACTACAAGTCCTTGCTTGATGCCAGGGAGACTTTGTTCAGTTTTACTTTGTTCAGATACAGACTGTTAGTCATGGTTTTCTCTCCCTTCTCTGAGAACCTGTATGTTCATTTGTGTTCGTTTTGTTTCAGTGAGCTGTAAACGAAAATCAATATTTTCAACATTCACGGATCCATCTGATTTTGATGCCAGGATGGATTGTTAGATACTTTGATCTAACTTCCTTTCTAACATAAACCAATGTTTCAGTCAGGAAAACATACTACCCTGATTTGAAGGTGTCAGGCAGATCCTTTGCTTTATTTTTGGTAGTTTATTTCACAGGTTAGTAGCTTTGATGCTATAAAAAATAATTTTTTAAAATTACCTTATTTCTAATTTGATTATACTATGACATTTGATTGTGGCAGTGCTTACCCTGATAAATTAAAATACCCTGCAGGACTTTCTATTTCCTACTTGTGAAGGTGCTTAAGCACCGCAATCAAGTGTTTCAGCCTTCTTTTTATGATCTGAAGAGACTGAGTGAACTAAACTAACGAATTACAGTGTAACAGAGATTCCTGCTTTTCTGTCTAAAATCCCCACCTTACAGGTAGTTCTTGGTGCAGCAGGTTGGTAGGTTGGCAGGTTGGGGAGTTCAGTGGGCACCTTCTGTGCACACACCGACCTGCGGTACCCACTGTCTGAGCGGCGCATTGGATGCTTCAGGAATGCCAAGTCTGTATCCCTGAGATGCTCCCCCACTTCACTAGAAAAAAGCCTGGGATGAATCCTCTGGATTTCAGCCCCTCATTTAGGCCGTGTTAGTCCTTGCTTTTGGTCTTTCCACTCTTTTTAACTTTCTCAGGGTTGCCCCTGCGGGAGCTGCTCGCTGTGCTGTGTAGGTTGTACAGGGTATACAGGGGAGACCCACCTCCTAGTGATGCCACCTGCCTTGGGTGCCCAATATGAGGTGATACGACTGCTCTGGCAGAGCTAATTAGAGCCCCAGTAGTAGCTAATGTATGTAGTGAGACAAGGCATGTTAAATGTGCTTTGTCCTGTGCATGTAACTGCCATTTCTGGTTGACAACACAACCTCAGATGGAGGGTGTTTCTCCTAAAGACTGCTTTTTCTTTTGTAGGTTGTCAAAATGAAAAACAGCCCCAGAGTTAAGCACCCTCTGGAGAGGACGCAGTACCCATTTTAGGCAGCATGAGATTCATAACCGTGCCAGGGTAAAACAAAGTGCTTAAGACATCTTAAATCAGCTGCAGACAAGTGCCAGGCAGCTTTCAGGAGGATTAATGTACAAACCAATAGGAGGTAAATGCCTTGAAATTCTGCTAGAGAAGAATCAAGTATAAACACTCTGAGGTACACTTAGATCTTGCCTTACCATTTAGTGATTAATCCAATTTTAAAATATAACTCCAATTTTTGGACTCAATCACCAAAGCAAAACATTCCTTCTCCTTCTAGGCTTTATTAGAGATTTATTTGCAATAGTATAATACTTTCTGTACTATCTTAATCTTTACAAACTCTTGCACAACAGAATCCTCTAAATATTCTCCCTAGGAATCAAGGGTTATGTTCTATCACAGAAGTATGAGACAGTTATACATTCCTCTCTATAAGAATTCTAGTAAATTTAACCTTCAGTCTCAGTCATTATACATGAAGCCTTCAGGATGAATGTTCTTTCTGATGCCACTAAAGGAAGCAGAATAACTATACTGTAAACTACATATAATGCATGTTTATACAGGGCTTTGAAGTAGAAGGCAAACAGTTACATACACTATAAAGCCATTCTCCATGTTTTATTGAAACCCATCTATGTTTTCTGTCAACACTACTGGGGAGTATTCTTTATGTACAGTTTTCTCATACATCTGTATTTCTTAGACATGCTATATAAACTGCATAGGACAGTTTTCACACATATTTTGAAATGGACAGTATGCTGTCTAGCCATAAATAATATTTTCTTATGTAAAACAAATGTTGTATCAATTTAAACTATTTGTAAACTTTAATGGCAGTGTGTGATGCTGTTAGCAATGACTTTGGCAAATTTACCATGACAGTGATGGCTACTACCACATAATTGCCTAGAACAACACAAACCCCTGTGCTCTTATCAAAGATTATAGATGCTCCTGGATAGGGCTAAAAGTTTGGAAGGTGGGGATGACGGTGCCTTCTAAATAGCTGTGACTTCTTACTTTGTACCTTTCTATCAGCACTGAACACAAGAATTTCACAAAAACTGCCACACGTTCTTCACAGAAAACTTTTCCATTTGGAAAAAAATCTGTATTTGGCCTAAGGTAGTGCTGGAAATACTCTGGAGGCAACGCAGAGCCAGCAGGTGGGCTCTCTGAGAATCTGGGCAATGGGGGCACCAAGCAAAACTTCTCAGCAGCACCCCTGCAAGAGGAGGACTCAGAGAACTACTTCCTTGACATTCCCTTGCTCCAAAGGGGAAACTGAGTCTCGCCTAGACCGGTACAAAACCCTAACAATGCTGCACCACCAAGCAACACCCTGCCTTCCTCTTCTCTGTGACCTCTCTCCCTCTTCTGGGGGAATTAATCAGACAAAAGTTCTTACTGAAGTTTGAAACCTGAGCTTTATGCTCATTTTTATTTAGTGGACTATTTTCCTAATAGGCTGCAAGCACCAAAGTAAATTTTCCCCTCAGCCTGAGCTGTGCAGAACATACTCTGTCACTGCCATTCTGCACAGGGCCTCTGAGCTTGAAATGCCAGAGAAGAATGTAGAAACGACCTCAAGGCCCATCACAGCTCACTGCCAAGATGAAGCAGAGGCCTATTAACAGTTTGAAGCAAAATCCTTCTTATTCCATCCCAGAGCAAACGTTCTCTAAGGCAGATTGTGGGGCAATTTTGTTCACTCATTACTCAGAGCTTGTGACAAATCAGTGTGGCTGAGCTTGGTGCTTTCAACTTATCACACAGCTATATATATATAGTTCATATTTCTAAACAGCTTTTAAACACATAATACTCATGACTGTAAAACAGTATTTAGAAAGGAAAAGCAAAGGTGATCTTGAATCTCCAAATCTCTTAGTTTAGTGTTAGAAGCAATGGCTTTGTCACCAGCCTCTGCATGTGTCAGTGAAGGGTTAACCTGCAATCTGGGGATAGCCCGTGACTCTTTTCAGTCTCTTTCTGTTCAGGAACAGTCAAGGGAGAGAGAGTAACTGATGCCAGTTATATTCCTACAGCCACCAATTTCAAAAGTTCCAAAACAATGGGTTAGACCCCAGAATAATTTAAAATGTCTTAAAACAAAGATTTTCTAGCCCAACCTTTTTATTTGCCTGGTGGATTTTAGTCTTGTACTTGCTTTGTATTTTCCCAGCTTTTCTCTTCAGCCTGGAGAGCTAGAAAGAATTCTTGCCTAATCATTTGTCTCTACGAAACTGTGAGAGTAAAAGCACTTCTTAAAATAGTGCTTTTTTTTTTTTTTTATTGCTTGAGCCCTGCACAGGAGAATGCCGAGGTCATAGGCTAACTCTCACAGAGTAAATTAATTTTGTGTAATTATGGCCATCTTCTATGTAAGTCCTGACATTTTGCTTATTAGGTGAAGTACTGAGTTATTGCACTGAGTGAAGATCAGTGGAAGTCTTCTGTATCAGTTTAGTCTGAATAGTTTTTTATTACTTTACTCTGTTTTTCTTCTCACATAATTCTTAGTCTGGAAATTCTGTCTACTTAGGAGTCCTTAAGAGAGAGACGTCTGTTATTTGGGTTGAAATCCTGGCTCTAGTGACGTCAATGGAAAAAAACCACCCATTGACTTCAGCTGGGTCAGGATTTCTCCCTTGTGGTTTATGAATCTATTGATTTTAGCTAAGGCTGTAGAGCCATACATAAATGAGAAACAAACTGCAGAAATAGAGCAAATGATCAAACTCTTCCTCAAAACAACATCCTGGAGTGTCCCTGGTCTCACCAACACCTGCCTCATGATCTCATTGACACATCTGCATTTCTCTTTAGAGAGGAGACAAAAGCACTGCACAGTACAATCTTTTCCTCAGTTTTGTGATAAATTTTATAAATAAGATGCCTGTGTACGGTTATAATCAGCCCTCAGCTGGGGGCATGAGCTTTTGAAGTCTCTTCTAGCACCAGTTGTATTGGACATGAGTAGACAGATACAGTCCCGGGTGCCAACAAAAACTCATGTAGCAAGGATACTTTAAAGTAACTTCTAAGCTGTGAACTTAATGTTTTGATAACACTTGGCCTTGAATTTTCTAACACTGTAGTTAGTCTGTTATACTTAATTGTTCTTTGTCACTGAGACTCTTTGCTTTCTGTTACTGGTGTTGTGAAATAACGATGCTTCTGCCAAGAAGGCAGGGTGGTGAGACCTGCTGGAAGGCGGGTTACATTGACATTGAAGAAGAAACATTCTTCATAATTCTACAATACAGAACTAACATTCTATATTGTAGAATGACAGTGAAGATCTGTGTGGAGCTTGTTTGCTTTCCCAAGACAAATCTTTTGAGGGCACTGCATAGAATGACCTCCTAAACTCAGTATTTGAGAAATTATTTCCTCCTGTATCATTCCGTGGGGTGGAAGAGGCTGCACCTCCATCTTAATGTTGCACTTATTTAAAAAAATGGTGTGCGCAGGGGTAACATCTTGTTCTCAATGGATTGTCTCCTTGCTGTCATTAAGGCCGTACTGAAATGAGCTCCTTGGTGGGAGTTAGGTATCCCTAAAATCTGCCACTTCTATAGCGTCCCAATAAATGAAATGAATCAGGAAATCCAAGAAGGGTCTGCTTGGGAACAATCACTGCTATTACTGGGCAGCGCTGCATTTGAAACTCATGAGCCACCCTGTTAGGTCCTCCAGTAATTTTTTTTTATTTCTAGAAACACAGTAGGTTGTTGTTACATTAATTATCAGGTTTGGATCTAATAAGATCTATAAGGATCTACTGCTCCACCTTGTGGTCTGAAAAAAGTTTTCTGTTATTCTATTCCTGAGTGGTGTGTCAGAAAAAGTCCAGCCTCTCCCTTTTCTTTTTTTTTTTTTTAATTAAAGTGGAATTTGGCTGGAATCAGTATCATACTTTTCCTTGAGATACTGATCTTAAGGGCAAGTAATGTGTTGTCACCTTTGGCATGCTTCAGGATAGACACTGCAAGGGGTGGTTGATTATCAAAGAGAAAAAGAAATAAAAGTTAAATCAGTGAAGACTGCTATTCAGTATGCATAGTTCAGAAGGTGCAGAATAAATTATAAATAGCTAGAAATAAAAGGATACATAATACTCGGCTGTTTTTTTCAGTGCATACACTGTACTGCTCTTCTGGTGTTGCCTTAGGGAAGCAATTTATAGCAAAGCAGTCCAAGGTAGTCTAACACCACCAGTCTGGAGTTGGATTCTATTTTGGATACTTAAATTAGTGCATCTTCTTCAACAATAGTAACAGCCAAGCAATAGCAACCAGTTAATACCTATGTTAAGAGCACAGCTTCTGCAGTCCCTTGTGCTTTTGGAAGTGAGTGGTTGTGCTCATAAAGCCTTAAGGAGTAGGAGCACTGGAAAAATTACCATCTTCTATAAAAAGGCTTATTGTATAATAAGGGCAGCTTGTCTTACTGCATACCAGCAATCAGAATGCTAGTCATAAAAAACATTTATGGACTGG